AAAAAAAAAAAAAAAAAAAAAAAAAAAACACATCATAGTAAAATTAATACCTTCTCAGCTTCGCATCGAAGCTAAAAAAATTTCGGACTTTATCTTATCTTCATGGTAAAAATGGCTACCAAATGCTATTATTATATGAACATTTTCGATTTTGTATTTTACATTTTTAACTTTATTATGCTATAACTTTTTGAAAAATGTATGAATCATTACAATTTATTTATGAGAAGTAGTATTTATATAGATCTTTCATTCGACGTACTTTTTTTTTAAATCGGACCATTTCCCTAAATACAGGGGGGATTCAAAACTTAAAAATGCATATAAAAAGTAGAACTTTTTCAACGTAACTTTTGAAAGTGTTCTGGAAGGTCTGACACTTTTATATATATCTTAAATTAAAGCTTATGTAATATACTTTATAATGGTAAAAAAAAATTTCGGACTTTATTTTATCTTCATGGTAAAAACAGACATCAAAGTTTATTAAAAAAATACGATTTTTGTAAAAAAATTATTTTTTATATTTTTAACTTTATAATGCTATAACTTTNTTTCAATTTTTTTTACTTAAAAGTGCCATAACTTTTTCAAAAATAAACATATCAATATAATTCTTTTTTATATAGATCCATAATATCATTACCTTTCATTTGGTATATTTTTTTCATAAATTTAACCCTTAACCTGCCCACAAGGGGGGATTTAAAATGACAACTTTTTCACAAAAAATTAACTTTTTCAACTTAACTTTTGAAAATGTTCCGGAAGGTCTGACACTTTTATATATATCTTAAATTAAAGCTAATGTAATATGCTTTATCATGAAAAAAAAAAATTTCGGACTTTATCTTATCTTCATGGTAAAAATGGCTACCAAATGCTATTATTATGTGAACATTTTCGATTTTGTATTTTACATTTTTAACTTTATTATGCTATAACTTTTTGAAAAATGTATGAATCATTACAATTTTTTTATGAGAAGTAGTATTTATATAGATCTTTCATTCGACATACTGTTTTTTTAAATCGGACCATTTCCCTAAATACAGGGGGGATTCAAAACATAAAAATGCATATAGAAAGTAGAACTTTTTCAACGTAACTTTTGAAAGTGTTCCGGAAGGTCTGACACTTTTATATATATCTTAAATTAAAGCTAATGTAATATACTTTATAATGGTAAAAAAAAATTTCGGACTTTATTTTATCTTCATGGTGAAAACAGACATTAAACTTAATAAAAAAAATACGATTTTTGTAAAAAAATTCTTTTTTATATTTTTAACTTTATAATGCTATAACTTCTCGAAAGATGTATGGATCAATATAATTCTTTTTTTTGTAGATGCATGATGTCTTTACCTATCATTTGGTATATTTTTTTTATAAATCTGACTTTTTACCTGCCTACAGGGGGGGATTCAAAATGACAACTTTTTCACAAAAAATTGACTTTTTCAACTTAAATTTTGAAAGTGTTCCGGAAAGTCTGACACTTTTATATATATCTTAAATTAAAGCTAATGTAATATACTTTATTATGAAAAAAAAAAATTTCGGACTTTATTTTGTCTTCACGGTGAAAATGGCTACCAAATGCTATTATTGTGTGAAAATTCTCAATTTTATTTTTTATATTTTTAACTTTATAATGCTATAACTTATTGAAAAGTGTATTGATCAATATAATTTTTTTATGGGAAATACTATTTTTTAATAATCCCTTTTTCATTCGACATACTTTATCTTAATCAGGATATTAATAAGGAACTAGCAGTTTATGAAGCTTTTGGAATAATCCACCAATTTTTTAAAATTAAACACTATCTAAAGATTTGCATCGAAACGTTTTTCTTTGATAGTGATTTTAATCACTGTCAGATATCATTATACTTGATCCAACTATGCCACGTCACCACTGTGCCGCGACCCCCCTGTGCTGGGTTTTTATACCTGTTTTTACTTTAGTGTTCTAAACATTTGTAATAAAAATTGTGAAAAAAATTATTCTATAATTCTATGTAAACACTATTAAGTACAAGAATTATATTTTTAGTATAAAGTAAAGTATATGATTTAATAAAACATAATAATAAGGTATTAATTTTCATTAATAGTAAAAAAAATTTTTACTCCATATAATAAACAAAACAATCAACTTAACTATCAAATTTTCAAACTTAAAAAATATATTTGGCTCCTTTCAGATCGATCCGAAAAGTATCATATACTTAGACGTTTGGGTAAATTACGTAATCAACATGAGTTTTAGAAATTAAAAATTATAAAATCGTTTTCTACGTTAAAAATTAAACATTTTACATATACTGATGATTATAATTGACCAAAATTTAGAATTTAAACCATATTTTAATAAATATTTTTGGTGAAAATAGGAAAAAGCCCTTGAGCGACCTCTAAAAATATTTTATCGATCTCAAATTTTCAAAACATGTTTGATTTTTGTACTTAATAAATCTAGGGGGTGTCTGTTAAAATTTTTAAGGTCGATTTTTTTTACTCTACCCTAATATATGTGATAAAAAATATAATAAAATAATAATGATATAATAAAATATATGATTATATTTATATTTTTATTTTTTTTGGTATGTCACCACTTTTTCTCAGCTCTCACTGGACCGATTTTTTTAAGTATACGTTATAAGATCACAAATTGTATGTAGTTGAAGACATTGCCCTTAAAATTTGAAAAAAATTTTCTTATTTCTTGTAAATCTCCCAAAATATTACGGTTTTTAAAATTGGAAATTTCGTCATTTTTTAACGCTTTTTTAATTTTTAATTTTTTTACTTAAAACTGCCATAACTTTTTAAAAAATAGATGAATAGAAACAAACATTTTTTATAGATAAATTAGGTATTTATCTTTCATTTGAAATATATTTTTTGAAATTCTGACCTTTTACCTGCCCTTAGGGGATTCAAAACAACAACTTATGCACAAAAAACATTTTTTTCAACTTAATTTTTGAAATTATTCTGGAAATACAGCGTCCTTTAAATATATATATGTTACATTAAAGCTTATGTTACGTACTATAAATTAAAAAAATTAATCTGTTCCGACGTTTTATCTTCTATGTACAAATGGCTATCGTAGTTAAAAAACATGCTATTTTTGTGTTAAAACTTTCGATTTTATATTTTTAACCTTAAATTGCTGTAACTTATTGAAAAAATTATGGATCAATACAATTTTTTTTTTTCTAAATACTTTATAAATACTCCTTTCAACCAATATACTTTTTTTTAAAATTGGACTATTTCCCCTTATAGAGATGGCGTTCAAAACTTGAAACATACGTATAAAAAGTAGAACTTTTTTAACTTAAATTTTGAAAATGTTCTGGAAATACTGCATTTTAAAATATATGTTAAATTAAAGCTTATGTTATGTTCTATAAGTGAAAAAGAACGTGACCTATCTTCTCTGTAGGAGTTCATTCTGCTTTTGGAATAATTCACCATTTTCTTAAAATTAAACACTATCTACAAATTTGCATCGCGTTTTTCATGATACTGACTTTAATCACTGACAGATAACATCTATACTTGTCCCAACTATGTAATGACCACATGTGCTACCGTTTTTTCTGAATATACTTAATTGTTTTAATATATTAAGTTTCTGTGTTTAAAGTAATATAAAAGAAAATCCGTATAATTTAAGGATCAGTATAATTTTTTTGTGTTTTTATTTTATAAAAATGTTGTTTAGTTGATTAGTTTTTTAACACTACTATTTTCATAAATAGACAGTTTTCGGTCATACCTTACTCCTGCATACGTATAAACATGTCAATAAATTCTGAAATACTGATCCAAAAGTTGGTATCGATCAGTTTTTTTTTAATTAGATAATAATTTATTAAATAAGCTAGTTTATTATGTGTGTTGTCATTTAAGTTGACAATCTTATAAAGTATAAAGTACAAACAAAAAAAATTTTTTTGATTGATAATTTAAGAAAATAAAGTACCTAAAAGTAATCAAAAAAATTCTCAATATTATTTATGCTTTAAATTAATTAAATGGTTTATGATAAGAGGATTACCTTATAATTACACTAAATTAATAAGTATATATATTTATTTATTTACATGTTAATATACAATGTTAAAAACACATACACTATAGTTCATATTTTTACACTTACTTACATTACTTGTAATTTAATTGTAGTAAATGTTTTTTTTAATGCTCAATGAAAATTTAAATATACAATTATTGTTATATAATTATTAATTAATTTTTTTTTTATAAAATAATTCAGGAACCTAATAGCGTAGAACTTAAAGACCTTAACGATGAACATCTTTTAATTACTTTGCGGAAAAATGTTGAAATAGCAAGATTAGCTTTAAAAGATTGCTTAAAATCAGTCAACCTCAACAATAGAATAACAACATTTTTTGGTAATATTCATTTATACTTCACAGCTAAAAATTTATAATAATAAATATAAATTAAATTTTTAATTATGTATATTATACTATTATCGATTATCAAAAGCTCTTTTGCTGATTTCTATTGACCTATGAAATTTAGGTATTTTTCGCTACAACTAACTTATTATAAGTAATACGTCCGCCGGGTATTGAAGGCAGATTTTAGAAAGTGTACCGGAATTCGTGTGTAAAAAAGAGGTATGTTACGGGATTAGAACCCGCGACCCAAGGCGCCGTAGAGACAAACCTTACCACCAGGCTACTGTGCACTTATGATTCACATCCCGATACACTTTCATTTAGGATGATAACGTGATGTGCGGCTGAGGAAAACACGGTACTATGTAATAGGAAAAAAGATATGCAAATCATTAATAAAATATCTAAAACGTGAAAAAGCTCGTTTAAAAGTTCGTCTGACTTTGAAAAAAAGTAATGATACTGATATATAGCATATTATAATATATTAATTCAACGTATTTCTTGTAAAAAAATAGATTGAAAATATGAGCTTTTTTAAAGTAAAATTAAGTTTTATTTTAAAGTTACATTAATGAAAAAATTTAATTGCTATAATAAAAATAAATACTTTCCAATATCATAAACAACATGCTATTTTCACATTAATTAACATTTTAAATATTTACGGAAATAAAATATTAATTGAGAAATCCTAATTTTGTTTGTTATTCTCCTTTAAGTTCTTTACATTCTAATATATAGGTCATAAATATTAATAATAGTACATTTTTTACTTAGTATTTTATCATTATATATCTGTATATTAAAACTACAGATCTAAATATATACTTTAATGTGCGGAGTCAGTATATTATATTGATTATATTAATATTATAGATCTTTAGACCTAAATTTTTTAGGTTTTATATAAACAATTTTCAAACGTTACTTATAATGAAATCAAAATAAGTTATGAGGTACAGCTATGTGTAATATAATACTCCTTTTGATGTACATATCATTTCGTTGACATTTTTTTAAAACTATTTATGTATTTTTAGACTACGTTTAAATCATATTCTTATGATTTGTTTTGAATGATAAAATTAATTTTTTTAATTTTAAATGTTTTCAAAATATCAAAATAGTTTTAGCAATTTTTTTGTGGGTCAATAAGATTATTTAGAAAGACATTAACATTAACATTTATTTTAATTAATATTATTTATTTTTATTTAATTTGAATTTCAGTTAATTTACTTATCTGATTACTTTACAGTATGCCAAAATTTTCGATGGATCTAACTATCAATTAAACTTAAAAATAGATTAACGACAATAAGAAATTTTTAAGACCAAAATATTAATTTTGAAAAAAAATTACTCGTTTTCTGTTTTTTCCGTGTCTTTCTTACATTTTTTTTTTTCAGGAAATTATATTTTAGATTTTAAAGAAACTTTAAATGAATTTCGAGTTCAACTTTATGATAAAAAAATTCAAATGGAAAATGTGGAAATACAAATGGGAACTTATATTTGTAATAAATATAAAGAACATGAATTAGCTAGGCACGGTTTAAAAGAGGGTTGTATGTTAAAAGTCAAACAATGTGCAATTATATTTCAAAACAAACTTGAAAATATTTCGCAAAACAATGTAAGTAAATAAAATATTTTAAAATTCAATTGGCAGTATTTTTTAAATAAGTATTAAATGTTTGTTAAAAATACCCTACTTATATTTCAAAGCATTAAGTTTACGTTCAATACTAATTTGATAAGTAATAAACGAATTGATTCAAATTCCATTTAATAATTATAATTTGTAATTTATGTATTTAAATTATGATTTTTTTAATATCTGAAAAGATTGTTTTTTTAAGTTAAGTATCTATTTACTAAGGCTGGCCAAGTTTATGATTTTTTTATTTTATTGAAATTAAGTTGGTTGAACAAAAATTCTCCCGTAATTTTTTTAGACAAATTAAATTAAAAGTTAAGCTGAAAGAATATCATTCACTTAATGAGTTATGTTAATTTGTGCCCAACGATTGTTCTGTTAAGTAAAATCGCATCTATCCCTAATATAACAAATATGTTTAAACATATATATTAATAATAGTATAACCTTCCTTCTGTTATGCCACCGACTCGAAACACCTCTTGGTCGGGGCACCCAGTATTTTCGCCTGTTATGGACACGACTTGACTTTTACTTAACTAAAAGTTAATGACAATATTCTTTGATAGAACAAATGTAAATTTTATTATGGATAAATACAATATTACATAATTTAATGTACCATTACTACACAATTATATATTTAAATTTTTTATATGCAACCTGGTTACTTCGTTTATTTCGTATTCATACAAGGACCACACACGTTCTTCACAATATGAACCAGCGGATGGGCATCCAAAATTTCTCCTTGCTATCGAATTGGCGATCACGGAACTTAGCTGTGGGCTCTCAAGTTGAGGCACTCCACTGTCCGTCATAGGATCGTTTTAATAGCATAAGCGCTAAAACCAGACTCGCCGTACACACTCAACGCGCAACAAAACTCGATCGCGTGAACCGGTGGTACGCAAGTGGCGCTATATCCGATCGGCGGCCGAACACCTTCTCCTCGAAAATTGATTGTGAATGGATGGTTATTCAATTTTGTTTTTAATGCTGAGTTATTAGCAAATAACGATAAATTTTCGATGGAGATAGATTTTTTGTTTAAAGACAGAAACTAGGTGAACTGGTAGGTAAAAACAACCCCCACCTACCACTTAGGCATGGCTAATCACAACCAAAGCTGAGTGATTACTTATACACTGAGCTTTGATTAACAGCAAGTGAAAAAAAACGTTAATATGAGAAAAAAGAACGAGAACAATCGATTAACGTTCGTATTTGTCGATTGTTAAGACGACACTAAGAAAAAAAGGTCTTAAAGCCATATTATTTAAATATCGATTTATTAAATATTGATAACGTTGTTCCATGGATAATTGGCAATAACCGCTGCATATATGTGAATAGTGTTTACAATCCCTTGGATATTATATATGTATATTACACTTTAAAAATCGAAAGTTTTAAGTGTTATAACGGATAAATGAATTAAGTCATAATTTTAATACGAGACAATAAATTAAAAATTTTCATTTTAATTTTATTCATTGAAAAAATAATAGCTATATGATAACATTTGAACAAATATAGTTAACACCCTAACAAGTCATAGGAATAAAATTAATAGTATTCCAAAGTTAATAATTTATGCACAACAACTCAACCCAACCAAAAAAATAAATAATTCATTTTTATTTATAATCCACAAGTAATTAAGTGGTTTATGATAAACAGATCATTCTGTATTATAAGTTAGTTTGACACGACTTACGTCGCAAAAATGTGGTCGACACTGGTTTTGAGGGTAGAGACCCGTGGGCCGTTTATTAAATGAGCGACAACAGATTATGTTAACAAAAATAAAACAAACCGAAAAGATTAACACAGTAATAATAATCTTCGCATAATATCGCGGCACTTTCGCTGGCATCGACGACGCGATGTCCGGTGTAATCATTGGACAGCAAATGGTTAGCAGCGTTGTAGACGATGGTGCGCGGGTGCGGATCGGTTGGTCAACGTTGTCGCTTTCACAACGGGAGGAAGTCTGTCGCATCATTTGCGGCGGGTTGTCGTCGGCCATGCGGCATTTGCTGGATTTTGCACCGTAGCGTATAACACGCGATGTTGGTCAGTCAAATATTCATAGTAGGGCGACGGCTGATAAAGGTGGCACGAGTCGCGGGGCATCGTGTATAACGAAGCGACGCGAGCCGTGTCAAGTTCTAATATTGTTTGAATTTTGATAATTAAAATCCTTCTAAATATAACAATATATACAATATATTTTATAGTGTTGAGTAATTAAAAAAACAAATTTAAATCTTAACCACTTTATTTTAAGTAATAAATTAATTTAGTATTTATTAATTTATTTCAAATAAACTTTTTGTATTATCAGTGTTAATTTATACTGATACTAAAAGAGTATTAAAACTATGAATTTTTAGGAAGACAAATCTAATGAATCAGATGAAAAACATAATGAAAAGGTATCAGAAGAAGCTAAAGAAGAAGTTAATGTTGAGAAGACGAATTATTCAGAAGATTCCATTACACATCAAGAAAAATTTGTGAACGTAAGTGGTTCAAATAATATTGGAATTGAAGAGAGTAATTTCACTAATAAATGTAAAATTATTACTGAAACAAGAGAAGAAAGCGAAGAAGAAATTTCAAAAAAGTTTATGGAAATTAATGAAAATGAAAATATTGATAGATCAAAAGAAGAATGCATGGAAGAGGACACAAAAAAGTTTGAAGATTCTGATGAAAATGTAAAAGTTGATGAATCAAAAGAAGAATGCGTGGAAGAGGACATGGAAAAGTTTGAAGATTCTGATGAAAATGTAAAAGTTAATGGATCAAAAGAAGAATGCATGGAAGAGGACACAGAAAAGTTTAAAGATTCTGATGAAAATGTAAAAATTGATGGATCAAAAGAAGAATGCGTGGAAGAAGACACAGAAAAGTTTAAAGATTCTGATGAAAATGTAAAAATTGATGGATTAAAAGAAAGCAAAGAAGAAAATACAGAAAATCTTGAAGAAACTGAAGAACTCTACGAATTAAAAAGTGAAAACGAAGGAAGAATTGATGAACCAAACAAATCGGAAAAAATTGACGAGCTTAAAGAACCTGAAGAATCTTCTGTTAAATCAAAAAACTCTGATGAAGTTGAAGATGATAATACTAATGAAGCAAATCATAGTAATGAATCAAAAAATAGTGATGAGTCAGGTAAAATATCAGATTCTGAAAAAGAAAGTGTTTTAGAACTTGAAGACACCAGAGAAAAGAGAAAATTCAATGATTTAATAGAAGACAGCCAAGAAAGACATACAAAGAATCTCGATGAAACTAACGAAGTTAAACAGATGAGTCAGTCAAATGTATCTGAAGGATTGAAAATCGATAAAAATGAAGATATATCGGATACGCCTAATGATTGTAATGATTCTGGAATTGTTCAAGAATCACAAGAAACTAATGAGTCCCAATCTAAAGAAGTGTAAATTATAATGAGAATTTTTATTTTGAAATAATTTGTTTTCGTAATTATTACGAGAATTAATATATTTCATTAATAAAAAATATATATTTGAATCTACAATGTTACTGTAATAACATTTTTACAATTATTAATATTTATTTTTGTAAAATTTTATTTAATTGCTCTCTTTAATAAATGATTATAAATATTTTTCGATTTGTGAGTTGTTTCATTTAAATTTTGATATAGAACACTGTTATACATAAAAATAGCGTATTTCACATAAAACTTCAATTTATGATATTCAATTTTTAAGTTTATAAAACAAAATTAAGAGAATTATTAAAAAAATACTGCATAATTTTCTTTTGATGCATTGCTGAAAATGTATTAATTTTACTATGTCGTGTTTTTTAATTTTATATCTGTTCATATAAATACTCCGCTTAAACTAGACAAATTTTTTTAACAATACGTCAAAAGATCATAAATCGTATTTAATTGAAGCTATCAATGCCATAATTTGGAAAAATACCTCACGTACTCGAAAATAATGGAAAATGTCCCAAAAATTACAATTGTTATAAATTAGGCGTTATTGATATTTTTTGTTTTCATTTTATAATGAAGTTTCTTTTTTAAAAACTAAACGAATCATTATGATACCTTCATTAACAATATTTTAATTATTTATTTTGCTACTCGGTTGTCACTGTCCGGCTTACTACATAAATTCAAGTCTTTGTTTTTCCTTTTTCACCTACCTATTGGTTTGGTTGGGTTGGGTTGGGTTAACATATCAGAGTACTTGTGTCTTGCATTTCGTCTGCACCTTATACTCGGCTACCCCGTTCTCTCTTTAAAGTATTTGTGTCTTGCACTTCGTCTGTACCTGACACCTAGGTGTTACCCTTATTCCCTTCCTATAACAACGGCCTTTCGACACCCACAGATAACCCGAAGTATCAGCCGAGCACGGTAACTGCTGTATGATTACACACACGTGAATACCCATTCAGCAGACTCAACATCAGCGTCGTATACACATACTCATCTTCATCATCGTAGTCCATTTTAACTTTTATTTGTGTTACGTCAATTAGTTGAGTTTTGAGTTACGGTTCCCTACTCACGACATGTTATATACTCTTGTTGTTATTTAATAAATGACATTATTTATTAAACATGTCCCAGAATGTCTGGAATGATAATACTTTTACAATAAAAGTCCAAAATCAACAAGTTATGGTTATGATTGATAGGGTAAAACCCGCCAATCTTCCGGAGAATGAAAACCCAACTGACAATCAGAATCATGTACTAGCAGCTACTACACTGCATACGACATATCAACAACAATTGCTAGTTGTAAAACAGTTTTTTTAATTTTAAGTATTAGCAATCAGTATAAGATGTAAATTGTTTGGAAACATGGATGCATAGTATGTCTTTAGAATACATTATTAGATGTATTCTGAAATTGGCGTATATTCTGAAATTTCTGCACAATAATTTAACTATTTTAACTTAAGTTTTCAAAATATTCCGGAAATACTCTGAGCTTCAATCATATGTTAAAATAAAGTTATAATAAGTTAAAAAAATTATTTGATTTTAAGTGGTATTTCATTGATTTTCTAATGCGAAATTTTACAAGTTAAATTTTTTTCTCAAACTTCAAATTTTTATGGTCTACCAAACAGAATACGTGTATTTTTATAAAATGTCTAACTTTTTTAGGCCTCTAAATCCTAAGAAAATTGTTTTAGATATTTGAAATTTAGTTGAAACATGTATTATACACTATACAATACCGCAATTGTAAAATAATAAAATAATTACTTCTTAATGGTTTTCATTGAGCTTAAAAATGCCAATTTACACAGAAAAACGCTATTTTTAGAAAGTCATTATAATGTGGAATTTCACATAAATTTTTTTATTTTAATGTATATTTTAAGTAATAATAAGTTCAGTTCTAAAATTTTAATTTGATTAAGTTAATATTGAACAATCTGTGTATTTTTTAACGTTCTGGTTTAAACGTAACAACCCTAATTGTGTGTTAGTTAATAGTTCAAAATTGATAGAAGGTTGATAAGCTTCTTATCATATAAAAATTGTGTATAATATGATACCATTTATGATTATAATATTAAATTATTTAAATCTTTAACATAGGGAAAAGTGTAAAAAGCTATAGAAAAACTTGCATCAACAAAAATGTAATTCAGTTAGATATTAGTAAATTTTAAATTATAATTTAAGTTGAATCGTGTCGTTCCAGTATTTTTATTGTTTGATCGTAAAAGAAAAGCTCACGATAAATATTCGCTCATGATTTTAACTCTAAGTAGTTTGTTGATGATGTTTTCGAATCTCATGCAACAAACAAAAAAAATTATTCAAGATAAATATTTTAAAAATGAATGTGTTAATAATTATGTCCCGGGTGATGTTGCCATATCAAAAGAATCTATTGACGATAAGTCGGATGATATTAAATATCAAATCTATGGTAAATAATAATCACAGATATGATACATTTGCTATTGTTATTTAATTTTTATAATTTCTCATGTATCTTAGAAATATTGAAACCTATAAAATGTTTAATTTGATGATGACAAATCAAGATCATATTAATATTTTATAACTAAAATGCTGTAAAAGTTAATCTTTAGTTACAAATATATTTCATTAGTTTATTGTAGTATATTATAATAATTGTTAGCAATAATAAATTTGGTTATTTATGAGTTTTTTTTTATTTATGACATTATTTTCTGGAACATATTAGAATATACAACTTGTAATTAAATAAACCAAGTATCAAACATACTCAAAAATATTAATTAAGAAAAGAAAAATATCTGGTCTCTGAGTAAATCAAATGACATTTCATTTATTCAATTAATTAAATTCATTCACTTGAATGTTGGTCATTATTTTTGTTATATTTAAAGTTATTCCTTAATAATTATAATTGCTCCATTTTCTGTTTATGTTAATTTAAATTGAATTGTAAATGTAGCCTATATAAATTAAATTTAAAATTTAGAGTAATAAATGTTTTATAATTAATAAAATGAAAAAATGGTTAATATATTCTAACAATTTTAAATTTCTCAAACAAATAACCAAAAACTCAAAATATATTGAAAAATATGTAGAGATATTAGGCATTTAGAACATAAGAGTGTGAATTTATAGTGAATTTTTGGGATAAAATAAAATAAAATAAAATAAATGAAAAATAAAACGTACATTATTTTGAGTGGAATTATGATCATAGTGGTTGCTTAAATTAACAAAATTAAGATTGCATTTTTTAAACTTTAAATTCAAATATCTTGGAAACAATTTTTTGTTACCTTGTTCACCTTAGTTCTAGGAGATTAACATTTGCAGTTTCCATGAATGTGCCTCAATTTTTTTATTTAACCAAACTATAAAAATATGTTCTAAATAATGTCATGTAATATATTAAATTTAGAGACATAATTCAAATTTTGCACCCTAGCCCTCATAATTACTTAATTATAAATTCTTAAATAACTTTTTAAGTTTAATTTATTAAACTTATTCAAATTATTTTAGATCTTATAAGAACAATAAGAGACCCTGAAAAACCAGCTACACTTGAAGATTTAAATGTTGTTTATGAAGAAGGTGTTCAAGTAATATTTTTATTTAGATTTTAAAATTACTGGAATTATTTTTTGAATTTCTCAACTGAATTATAATGTAATTTCAATGTTTTTTTTTTTTAATTTAAATTTAAGTAATGTTGGATTAAACTTAATAGTTCGACAAGTAAAAAAACATATATATATTAAATGTAAATATTTAAAATCTTGATAAAACTATACTTTTAGAAATATTAGAATTTTAATATAAATTTAAAGTTGTTGCAATAAGTTTATATAGGGAAAATACCTGTGCAACAGACTAATAATGCTCTGAAATTGATATATTTTGACATTTCACAAAACAGTTATTGTTACGAATTTGGTACTTCTAATATCTGATTCTGTAAGTTATCAGATATTTCCAATTCCACTCTATCATGGTATTTTTTTTTTATATTGTATCACAAAAGTGTACCATAGCCAGGTTTTTGAACTAATTTCATTATTGTAGCATATTTTATAATATCAAGGTGACTTTCAAAGCATTATCAGTAAAAATCCCAATAGATACATAATGGGATTAGTCTAGCCTAGTAGGTAAAAATGTATGTTTGAGTGCACAGGGTCCTGGGTTTAATTCTGAAATTTTTCCTTTTATTTGCTCATTGGTGGTTTCTGGTCTCTAATGCAAGTTGTTTATAATACCTGTCTCGTCCATTATAGGCTTAGCCATGAACCATCTTTGACTACCTAACATATGAAAGAGGGACACCACCCTCAGTGACATGTTATTTTAGGAAATAAAAATATGTAAAACTGATCATTATTATTATATATATAATACTAGATAATTAAAAAATAATAATAATTAGATATTTAATGTTATTAATGATACAATGAATATTTTTAGGTAAATAGAAATCCAGATTTACAATTATGTTCAATAAAAATAGAGTTTAATCCTACTGTTCCACACTGTAGTTTGGCTACTTTGATTGGTCTTTGTATACGTATAAAATTATTAAAGTCTATAGTAGAAAATGTAAAACTTGATATTTATATTAAAGAAGGGGCTCATACTACAGAAGAAGAAAGTAATTATTATTATAAGCTTATATATTGTTAAATAATAAATCTATTTAACTGTTAGCTTCATAAATTTAAAATATATTTTTAGTAAATAAACAAATTAATGACAAAGAGAGAGTTGCAGCAGCAATGGAAAATCCAAGTTTGCGAGAAGTTGTAGAAAAATGTATTAAAGAAGAAGAATGAATCATTATTATTAAAATATTTAAGACTGCAAATTTTAGGCACAAAGCATTAATAAATTAGTATTTTTTAATCTAAATTGTAAATATTGATGTTTATAATAAATAAATATTTATTGATCAGTAAAGATTTAAAATAAAATGTTTATTAATTGTTAAAATATAAGACTCCGTCTTTACAGTTACAATTTAAATAATAATGAAGAAAAATGATATAAATGTTGATATATTTTAACTAATTATAGTTTACATTTTCAAATGCAAGTTAAATTCATAATTGAATAAACAAGTTTGAGAAAAAGACTTGAAAGTAATGGTTGTTTAATAATCTTTTTTTTTTTATTATTAATTTATGTAATGTAATAATATATAAAAAATAAAAATGTAAATTTTATTTATTAAAACTAATTTATGAAGAATGTCCACTAAGTAATTGATTCATTGCATTCATTTCTTTCTTTGTTAATGGATTTAAAAACAGTCCTTTAACTGGTTCTTGATATTCCATATCTCTTAGTTTATTAACCTTGATTTTAAGATCACTATGTATTTTATTAATGCGGCTATCAAGCAGAATTTGATCTGAAAATATTTTCTGTTTAAAAGAAGATATAAATATATTTTCAACAAGAATTACTTTGATACCTTCTTGTAACATTTCCTTAGCTCTATTTTCAGTAACTTTTATTAATAAGGGACCAACTGCTATCCATGTTTTATTTTGAGGCATTTTATTATTTATTATTGCTCTAATTGCCATACGATTATCATTTCTCTTCTTATCCAATGCTACAATTTCACTTTTATCTACAAGTATTTCTTCAGCTTGTTTCTCAACACAAAATAAATAATCCATGGTTGTTTTTTCAAAATTCATTATAACTCTAAGAATAGTAATAATAATCACAGTAAAAATTTAAAACATAATATTGTATAAAGAAATATTTTAATTTAAAAATAAATTATATCTAAGTATAATAAAATTAATTATTTAACAATATTGTCAAGTTAAAAATTAAAATTTAACTATTTTCAAGTTTTTCAATTAATTTTTTTGATACAATTTTCATATTTTTTTCAGCTAACTGAATTGCTACCATAGCTTGTTCAATATTAGGAGGTAGGCCACGATATTTTTTTTTTTGTCCATTTTTAATTTCAGATAAAACTTTTGAAACTTCAACTTGTTTATGTTCTAATTCAAATATTTTTTTTGTCAAATTAATTATTTTTTCACAATTTTCAACATTTTGAGGACCATTAATTGGTTTAATATTAATAGATTCTGCAGTAAAACCAATGGGAGTGTAATTGATACTAGATAATTCACATTTTAAATCATTTTGTTGATCAATTGCAATTTTGAGTTTTTTAATGTGTTCATCTAAATTATCCATATAAAGTTTTTGTCTAGAACAATTCCCAACAATCATCATATATTTTAAAAACAGACTATTAGAATAATAGTCATAAATACCCGTTTGCATAAGAATTTTAATTGCACTATCTAGTAGCATGTTATTTGGTAACAAATTAATTGAAATACCCATTTTTTCTTCATAATATGAAACTTCTGTAAAAATATCTTCTTTTGTTTGGCATAACTCGGAAAAATAATCAAAATATTCGCCATTATTTGGCAATAGTTTAATTAATGATAGTATTTGATTGTATAGTAGTTGATTATCATCAGATAATTTGATCATTTCACATGAACCTTTTAAATTATTAATTATTGACATCAGTCCTGAATTAAATTTACCCTCCATAACTCAACTTATGTTTTTTGACTAAAATAGCTATGGTTACCTGCTAGAAAAAAATAGATTTACATTAAGAATAAAGAATTGGTAAAAAAAACATAGTAACATCAACACTTTCTCAGCATTTCATCAAAGCTAAAATTAATTATAAATAAAAATACTAAATTGTTAAAACTCAATAGGTAGCTATCACTTATTGGCGACAATAGTGATATTACGTCAATTTTCTTACCAATAGTATTGAATTTTCACTGACATAACTCAAAAAGTACATATTTTGCAGGAGAAACAAAATAAAATAAAAAATTCTATACTATTTAATTACAAATTAATATTTACATGACTCCTTAACAGAAAATAAAAAAAAAATATTATTTAAGCTATATTTAAGTTTGATTAAGTGTATAATTGAGTTTAGTAAGAATATTAGATGTCATAATCATATTTAAAAATATATAATAGAAAAGGCACAAATAATAAGTCCTTTTTACTAAAAATGTTATAAGTAGGCCATTTAAAATGGGAAATCAAGTATTTAAAATGTTAGTTAATGAGTAATAATTTATTATGAATAATGACAGTGAATTCTTTTTTAATTATATTGATGGTTAGAAGGCAAATTTTCGTTAGCACCAATAACCAAACTTTTCTGGAAAACAAAAAAACAAATATTTATTGCATTCCCTAGTAGAAAAGTTGTTTAATTTTATAATAGCTTAAAGTATATTATACAGTTTTTTAAATAAACGATCTAGAAAAATATACCCCTAAAAAATAATTTTCGATACTGTATTTCTTATATAATTTAATAATTATAATAACAATAGTTACTTACACTAATAATTATAATCAAAAATATTGTTTAGGAATTTTATCTACAAAACAACTTGTTTAATAATTCAAATTAAAATATTTATAATTAATAAAGAACTACAGAACTCGTTTGGAATGTTAAAATCTATAAGTTAAATACACATAGATAAGCCACGACAATCAGACTATTGGCAACCGATTTTTTATTAAATTGGATCTGGAGAGATAGCGTTATATACACTTAATAAAGAATAATAATTTTTAAGTATTTGGATGCCGCGGTTATTGATGTACGGAACATAACTGCTAATTAAGATAAGAACCTGTTATTAATAAAAGGCAATTACTTATTATGTTATTAGAATGAAACGTTTTGTTTTGCATACGAATTTGATAAAATATATTATTATGCTTACTGTTTTATTAATATTTCACCATTATTTTTTCTAGCTTTGATACGCAGTTGAGAAGGTTTTAATTTTACCATGATGTGTTTATTTATTTATTGTGTCAGTATCTCACTAAATTGATTTTTCTCAACTATATGTCAAAAGATCACAAATCATATCTAGTTGGAGACATTATTCTTAAAAGTAGAAAAATTTTTCTTTGTTAACCGTGAAAATCTCCCTAAAAATTGCGATTTTTAAAATCGTTAGATTTCGACATTTTTTCAACTTTTTTCATAAAACCGTCATAACTTTTTTGGAAAATATAACGAATCAAAACAATTTTTTTTTATAAATATACGTTAGGTGTTTCTTCTTTAATAAGTACAAATATTTAAAAAATTTTACCCTTTGCCTGTCCACAGGGGAAGTTCAAAATAGCATCTTGCACACAAAAATTTAAGTTTTGAAAATATTCCTTAAATTCTTCGAGTTTTAAACATTTGTTAAATTACAACTTATGCTACATACTATAAAAAAAAAATTGCCTCGATGACTTTATTCTGTATGTAAATGGTCCCCAAGGTTAGATAAAAAATATTTTGTTATTCAACTGAAATATACAGAACTATTTCTGTATAGTTATATTCTATAATATACAAATATTAAAAAATATTCCGGGCTTAGTTTTACATATGGGTTTGGTTTGTCTGCTGATGTGTTGTTGAATTTCATTTTACCCTAGATTTTTTTGTATATGTATATATTTGTTTTTACTAATTAGTAATAATCTAAAAAATTAAAGGTGATAAAAAAAATCTAATTGTTGATTTGAAATCAGTGCAAAAATTCGTTAAGAAAAAGTAATTAACTAACAAGACCATAGCACCTTAATTAATATCAATTTGAATATACTATGCTCCGTGTACAGTAATTAATTGGACCATTGCACCTAATTTTTATTGTTTCCCATGTAAATTATTGGTATTGATTTTGATTAATAATAGTAAAGGATATTTGCACTATGAGTTACTTGATCTGCATCTTATAGAATCAGTAATTGTTACTCAGGATTGGAAGTAATTACTTCTAAACTAAATTCAATGTTTCTTGTTTTACACAGAAACCTTGTGTATACTTTATATATGTATCTTGGAAGTACTCTATAGGAGTTCAAACCTCCCATGATGAAAATAATTATAATTATAGAAAAAATTGTTTTGCAAAACCTCCATAAAAAAATTAGGAGTACTTTTCAGAACAGTACAGTGAGTATTATTAAACAAAAACATAGTAGACAAATATAAAATATGATGATAAAATTGACAAAATAATTGTAATACATAAATTAAATATTTATAAAATTCAACAAGAGGAAGATTATTTTTGGACAAGGGAAAGTATAAAAATTTTCAATTTTTATAAAAAAATAATAATCTAAACATTCATAATTGCGTATAAGATATAAATTAAAATATTGTAAAAATTAAATTCATCTTCAGGTTATATCAAAAGTATATTATTATATTTATAACTGTAATTATTATATTGAGATCAAATTAATTATGAGGAAGAACATAACTGACTTAAAAATAATGAAACATTAAACTAAATTAAACTTTAATCATAAAATAAAATAAAAATATATATATATATTTATTTATTTGAAAATAAATAATTACTGATGAAATTTAATAAGTTGATATTAATATATTAAATATGTAAGTACTCATTTTTTAAATTGAATTTATAAGATAATATTTTAAATGAAAATAACAGTTAGGAAAAAAAAACTTTAAATTGCTATAAATGATTATGTATAAAATATGTTAAATTTCAACTAAATAAACTTTCTTTAAAACTTTAAATAAAAAATGTCAAATAACATTTTCAAAAGATAAAAACTTATTAAATTGAAAAATTTAATTTTTACTTTTAATTTAATAATTATTTGGGTTTCAAATTAAAATAAATCTAGACAAGTCTAAACAATCTATTATGAAATTTTAAAGGAATTAAAAAAAGAAATACAAAACAATTTTAAATACATATAAGTAGTAAACATAAGTTATTTATGTTTAACAATCAACACACACATAAAAACAATAATGTGTAAAAAGTTTATTTACATCAATCTTCTTTAGTTTCTTTAGAATTTGAAGAATCTTTAATAATCATATCATGATCTTCATAACTAAAAAACCATTTATTTTGTATATAACTAATTGAAATTGATATACCAGTAATTTTTTATTATTCAATTTTTACTTGAATAGAGTTTTTAAATCGCCACACACTACAGCAATCAACATGGGAGTGATTAAACATGCTGGTACCAAATATAAAAGAGCTGGTTGAGCTGCTTTAAATACATGCATAACAAATACTGTAGTTAACAAACCCAAAAAGTATGCTAAAAATGTGGCATTGAAGTATAAATTGGTTTTCCGTTTTAAGCTAAAAATCATAAATTTGAAAATAAGTATATCAATTTTTATAAATTGACCATAATTATTAAATTACCTTTGGTCAAATCTTAACAAGAACGCAATAAAAATTCCAGGTATCACAATATCACCTAAGCCTAGCATAGCAAAATTACTAGCACTTAAAACTCCATTTTCTATTAAATCTTGAGGGAATATAACTGTGAATGAATAAGCGTGGTTAAAAAAAATTAACAGTATTCAAATTAAATTTTATTATATAATTGTAAGATTTAAATTAGAGAAAAATATGTTTTTTTTATAAATATTTAGAAACATCTGTAACACCTCACTCCTTATGGACACATTATCATAATATTAAAACTATAAAAAGTAAATGATTACAAAGAATTCAAAATAAGTGTAGTAATAAAATGTTAAAAATAAAAATAAATTATTTAGGTTTTAGACCAATTGCAAAATTTAATATTAAAACTTGCCTAAAGTGGCCAAAATGTAACAGGCGATAAATATAGCATGTGTTTTTTAGGGTGTCATTCTTTGTTTAGCACTGATGAGGATAAGTTGGTTGTTAAAATATATACTTGTGGTGTTTTACTCAGAATTCTTTTGTGGTTATTAGAGTAAAGTATTTCTTAATTTTAGCTTCGATGCGAAGCTGAGAAGGTATTGGTTTTACTAAGATGTGTTTTTTTTTTTTGTGTCTGTTACCACTTTTTCTCAGCTCTCACCGAACCGATTTCTTTCAATGATACGTCAAAAGATCACAAATTGTATCTAGTCGAAGACATTACCCTCAAAAATTGAAAAAAATTCCCTCGTTCCCCGTAAATGGGGGAAACCTCCAAAAAAATTACAAATTTAAAAATCGCTAATTTTCGAAATTTT